TGCACTGAGAGCTTCCATGGCTGAGATTAGACTTATGTCTGTTATCTATCTATCTATCTATCTATCTATCTATCTATCTATCTATCTATCTATCTATCTATCTAAAAAAAATGAAAAATGGGTGGTGACTTTTGCTGATATGTTATTTTAGAATTAATGTTCTCAATCCAAAGAAATATGGTCAAAATAAATAAAGATAATAATTAAATATTGAACCAATCAACCATTGTTATTTTAACGTCTTTATTTTTAAGATAAATCAATTTCATCCCAGTAAAATATTTAGCAATTATTAATATTGCCTTTATTTCCAGTGACACGAGTATCAGAAGTGGTGATATCAGATGAACTGTAATTAGAGAGAACACAATGCTCTTGGTTGCTATTTCCATGGAAAAATCTTAACAGAAGGAGATTAAAAATAAATCCAAAACTAGTTATACTTTCATTATTGGTTCTTATAGCTGCATGAATATTTAGCTGTCATTTACAGTATAGCATAACCCAAACTCAGTATTTCAGGTATTTAAATATTCTTCTATAAGTTTTTTGTTACTTTTTATTATCATCATTAATATGTATTTTTTGAATTACCAGAGATAATCCAATAATTTGCCATAACTGATATAATTTCTCTCTAATGACTGGTGCTCATACTCAAAGTATTCATGCCAACAATTGAGTAACTCTTATATTTAAATGTTCAGTGCTTTGCAAATCACCTTGTAGTTGCAAACACTGAACTGTGCAGTGTATTTCAGTTCTTTGTGCAGAAAAATGGGTTGGGTAAGATAAAACAGTCATTGGATACACCCATGATGAAACGTTGTACAGGATATGGGGATAATTACTTACAGACTTAAATGACGGCCTTGCAGTGCTACCACATTTTTGTGGGGCACATGTCCCAGCTCCGCTCACCTGTCCTTCAGGCTGAGGGGCCTATGGGGCAATTAGGGTTAAGGGACAACACAATGGCAAGTGGGAAACAAAAAAGTTAAACTTTTGATGTACTAAAGTATTAAAGAAGATTGTTAATGAATATATAATCTCCTCAAGTACTGTGTGTCATAGGTGAACAATTAAAAGTCAATGGTTAGAAAACAATGCTAGCAAACACTTTATTTTGTTTATAGAACAAACTATTATTTTCACTAGATTCTTCAGATTTATTTCCTACACAAATGTGCAACAATATTAGATTCTTCTTAGACATGTTAGTAAGCCTGAAATTCATATTATCTAATGGGGCAATAACAACATCTTAGCAGAATTCTCTCGCTTAGGGCTTTTTACTAAGCCAACTATTACTTTGCTAGTAAAATCTTTCTAGAAAATGTTTATAAAATTAAATTGCATTGAATCCTTCTTTGTGGGAGGGGATGCTCCATCTCCTCAGTAAAACACAGGTTGCCCTGAAAACTACCAGCTGGTCTCCAACCTTCCCTTCTGTGGGAAAGTTGTTGGGAGGGTGCTGGGGTTTGCAATTACAAAAAGCTTTGGAGGACACAGATTATCAGAACCCTTTTAATGATGATTCAGGCCCAGATATGAAACTGAATCCACACTGATTACTCTTCTGTCATCCTGTGGCAAGAGTGGGATGTGTGATGTAATTCTCCTGGTTCTGCTTGATTTCTTAGCAGCTTTGATATCATTGATCATGATATTCTTCTGGGCCATCTGCAAGGGTTAGGAGTGGGTGGCACTGTTTTGTAGTAATACTTCTTAAATGGGGAGCTCCAGACAGTGGTAGTGGGGGTTGAGAGGTCAAGCCTTAGGACCCTTTGTTGTGGTATGCCCCATAAGTTGACACCTTCTCTAATTTACATCTACGTGAAGCAACTGGTGATGGTCATCCAACACCAAAACAGGTAGCACTGGTATGAAGATTATATTCATTTGTGTATCTTGACTCCAGACAAATAGAAGATGTGATTAAGGCTTTATCCAAGTGCCTGGAGGCCATGAAACTTTGGATGGGAAAAAACAGATTCTGGTTCAATCTCAACAAGGGGAAGTAGCTTTGGGTACAGAAGCCCTCCAATTCCAAAAATATTCTAGCCTTGGCTCTGGATGGGGTTGCACTTCCAATTCAGTGCTAATTCATAATCTGTGGCTCTAGCTTGGAGAACAGATGGCAGCTGTGGTTAAGAAGGCTTTTAAAGAGATCCATCTTGTTCAACAATTACAACGTTTCCTGGATCAGCAGGCTGTGCTCATCTCTTGGTTTCCTCTCAGTTAGATTATTGCAATGTCCTCTGCATGAGGCTACCCTTGAAGACCACCCAGAAATTTCAACTGCTTCACAACAAAGCAACTCAAGAAGTTTTGGATGCCAAACAGTCTGCCCATGGAACACCTCTGCTATGAGAGCTACACTGGTTACCAGTTTTTTTCTGGGTGCAATTCAGGATGTTGTCACCTATAAAGCACTTCATGGTCCAGGATTGGATACCTGTGGGACCACCTTCTCCCAGTAGTCTCTACCTGTCCTTTGAGATCTGAAAGTGAAAGGTTGTTCCAGTGGACTTTCAGAGTCTGAGGGATAATTTTTGTTCCACCTGACGGGTAAATGTACATATGGGCTGGTTTGTTCCTCAGGAACTGGGTAATATATATTGTTACATAGATGTGTGTTTTTAGTTTTTAATTTCACTACTGTTTGAAGTCACTCAGAGAAAGATATGACTGGAGCAGCATGTAAGTCTAGTAAAATAAATAAATAAAAACAAAAAACTGACAGAAACGCAAAAGGATTGTTTTACTCTGGACACAATAATTTCCTAGCCAATCAGTAATTTCCCTCTGAAAAATTATGGTAAATTATCAAGGAATTCTATTACTTTACTAAGGCAACAGTCAAACACACATAACGTAACTGTAGATATTTCTAACCTGTGTAAAGATGAGAGTCTCAGAGCTCCTGCTATCCAGGCTGAGTACAAATCTGATGGACTGGAAAAGTTCTTGGATGTTGATTCTGAATTGTTCCTCCTCCATTCCACAAGTAGCTCTGGAGTAAAGGATCCGAGACTGAACAATAAACTTGAAAAGATATTCCAATGCCTTAAGAAGCAGGAGGAATCAGTAAAACAGAGAACAAGAGGTTTAGAAATGGCCAGAGGAGAAAAATTAGGTACATTATTAATACTCAAATTCTTGCCTTTTATATGAACGATATAAAACTTTTATTATGAAGGACTTTTATTTAGTTAAAAGTCAATAAAATCAATCAAAATTTAGCATTCTCCTCCACAAAAGCTATTCGTAGAAAATGTAGGTTCAAAGTATTTGCAAAAGAAAAAACTACAACCTATTGTCATCTGGCAAATTACGGCTTGGTACTCTTTATCTTTGGTTAGTTTTTACATCATCATGTGTAGAAATTAGACCGACTTTTACCAAATAACGATAATTTTTCCTAATGTGAAAACAGTTACATAGCATAAAGTGAGCTAATCTCTGTTTTTTGCTTGAGTCAGATAAAGGATGCGATTTATTCTCAAGAGTGAAAAATGGGACTTTATTCTGAAGAAAAGCACTTTAGAAATAGCCTTAATTTATACATTCTTTGGAACATATAATTCTAAATTATTTATAATTTAGATACCTAGGAGACAGCAACAAAATGTAAATTTTACATACATAAAAGATGAACCAAATACACAAGATGGGGAAACTGCTGTGCAGCCACTTATTAAAACACTTTAAAAGAAAAAACTGAAGGGATCTGTACAGCACTGTGGCACAAAAAGTTTATACTGTTTTTTTAATTTATTTTCCAAGATTAGACATTGATATTATCATTTTTGTTTAATATTAATGATGAATGGACTACCAAGCTTATATGGGAAATAACATGGAGGAACCCAACATTATCTGTATGTTTGAGGAGAGCTTGCACCTTTCAGCAAACCCTCCAGTTCTACTACTGAAACTAGTAAGTACATTTTTATTCCATAGGGTTTGTCCCCAAACTTAAATTAATCCATTGACTCAACCACAATAAATCTGATGTAACCCCATTTTTTTATCTCCAAAACATCACCTTCTTAAATCAACATTTGGAGGTAAGTATTTAATTCTGAATAGTACAGCTGAAGATAGATATTACTGTAAAGCACTGAAAAAGCTCATTAAATAATATATTATTTAATTTTCATTCCCGATTAAGTATTGCCCTAAAGAAATAATATTTATTTTTTAAACTGAGATATTTATGTAGAATACATACCCGCATTGCTTCCTGAATATGATCCTGTCGTACAAGTTCAGCTGATCGGTCCATATACCATTTCAAACAGCGGATGAGTTCTCTGAATAAAAAAACCACATTGACAGATATTTAACAGGAGAAAAGCTCAAAGTGACAGTGTTTGTGAAATATTTCCTTTACAAGAAAGAAATTAAGTTTAATTTTATTTTTTATTCCTATAAACAGCCTAATTTGCCTAAAGTTTAGCATAAATATAATATTTTTAAGATTTAGAATAATGATTTGTCAGTATTAATTACTGCTCAACCATGGAGTTTATAACAAAAGTACAAGGTAAAAAAAAAAAAGTACCTATTAGATTTTGTCCTCTTAGGAAAAGTATGCATGCTTGTAGACAGTGCTTCTTCAAAATAAATATATGCCATTTTAACAATACTAAGTTACAGTATATGGAAAAACTTTTTAGACTGTAAAAAAGAAAAGCAGGATGCTCCCACTGAGCATCCATACAGACTGCTGAAAGCCACTGTGGCTTGACTCCATTCTGCTTTGTTCAAACTCTGTGACATGTTTATTTGAAAACATTATATAACAAATAGATCTGTCTTCTAACATCTTTATTTGTTTACCATTCTAATTATACTAGCAAGATAATAAAATTAACATTTCTTCTCAGAATTCAAGACAACAAACCATATAGGAAGGACTACCATTACACAGAATTTAAATTATGCATCAGTCCTGTAGCTGAAGTTGGATACTGGAGATAGTGTCAATCTAACATCTCATGGATTTGGTATCAACTTGAGATTCAGATGTTTATTAAGTACATATTGAAAGATTTCAGGAGGATACTAATCTCAAAACTGAAGCTCAGCATAACCATCTGAAAGTTGGTTCACCCAATATGTTTGCTCTAGACAGTATGGGAATCCTTACACAGATCAAAGTTGGTACTGGTAAACCACCAAGTAAGTTTTTATATCAAATTCACTTTTGGATTAAGCACTTCTTTCAACAGTTCTGAAAAGAATTCCCAATTCCCTCAACAATTCTCAAAAAAATTTCCTCACAACGTAAGATCAGACTTCTTGTGCAATGTTATAAGTGTTCCTCCTCTTTTTTCTTCTAAATACAATAATAAGAGTGTAGCATCATGGTTAAATTATTTGGGCTGGGGAGATTCAGAGTTAAGTTTTCATTCAACTGCAAAGCTCATTGGTTAACCCTGAACAGTACTCTGCCAGCCTAACCTATCTCAGAAGGTTAATGATGTGGAGATAAAATAGGGAGATCCCCATGTAGGCCACTTTGACATTCCAGAAAAAGGAAGTGTGTGCGTGTGTGTGTATATATATATATTTCTTCCTAGTGTTTTTCCTGCATGTGCAGGGTCTGCTTTTTTCCGATCAACTCAACGTTGATCCATTGGTTCCAACAGGAATTGCCCAACCAGCTCATTGCCCAAGCCTGACATCGGGGGCTGAGGGAGAGTGATGGGCCCAAAGTCACCCAGCCAGTTTTCATGCCCAGGGTGGGACTAGAACTCACAGTCTCCTGGCTTCTAGCCTGGAGCCTTAACCACCAGACCAATCTCTCTCTCCCTCTCTCTGCAATAATAAATTAAATAAACAAATGGTGGTTTACCAGCACAATTTTGATCTGTATAAGCATCTGGATTTTCAGTGACTATGAAGTTTTGTTCCGTTTTTAACCCTTTGTTATGCTGATTCTATAAGCTATTCTTTATGAGAACTTAGCATGCACAAAAAATGAAGCAAATAAATATCCTTTTTTTAAAAATTATTGTGTTGCTGTTAACATTTACTTAGCAAATTGGCCTCCACTGGACTTCCAGTGAGGACTGAGGCTGGTTAGACATCCCTGTGAGCAGCTCCACAAGCAGGTACAGCACTGCGGTGGAATCATTAACTAGGAGCCAGGTTCTGGCTGATGAGAATGTCTCCAGAGGATGGAGAGATTGTTGGGATCACACATTTGTGCTCTGGAAGAACTGCTCCTCACGAGGAGACCACAGGAATTGAGTTTCTTGTGGTCAATTACGAGTTCAGTGGCTTGGGAACAAAGGGATTCACAATGTACCCTTAACCGCTGAGCAGCCTTAATGGACCTTTGACCGGCAAAAGGCTCACTTTAAACACTTTAGGACTTAATTACTTTACAACCTAAGAGAGATATTCTGAACGTCATTGATGATCAAAGACTCTTGGTAAGTGCCTTCTTTTTGAAATTAAGAGGAGAAAAAATGCTATTTTAAAGCATATTTAATTTAAAAGCAAAAGGCTTAACAAGATTGTGATTCAAGAAAGTTTTAAATGGATAAAGGGGACAGTTATGTTATATATATAAATCACACACGAAAGTGCCTTCGAAAATAGCAATAATAATTAGACTAACAGACTGGACCTTCGTGGGAATGCTAATTGTTTATTATTAAGGACAGTAGATAATTGCTGGATTTTACAAAAGAAGAAGATAAGGATAAGATGAGCTGAATTGTGAGACTGTAACTACGGAGTGCTAATTGGGACTACAGTGCTAAAGATAAAGGCAAAATAGAAACAGAAAAGAAAAAAAGAAAAAGCCTGCCTTTTACTTTCACAAAGCTCACTAGAACAATTTACAGATAAGGGCATTTCATCAGATTTATTGCAGAAAATGTTTGAAGAATTTTTGCCAAGATGACTGCAATGGTTAAAAAGGAAATGGAAGAAGGATTGCAGGAATAAAAAAAAAAAGATTTGAAAGAAGAAGTTAAGAAGATTGAAAAATCTGTAGGACAACTGGCTGCAGACTTAAAACAAATTACTGACAAAGTGGAAGCTTTGAAAGTAAGACAGAAGTTATAAATAGAGAAATGGAGAAAAATTTGAATAACTTGGCATTACTGGAACTGAGAGAAAAAGAATTTTGTTTAAGATTTAGAGCAATTCCAGAACAATGTGGAGAAGATATTAGACAAAAGATTGTTAAATATCTAATTTTTAAGATTGGGAGGAAGATAACACTGAGACAGAGATTGATAAGATTTATAGGATTAATACACGTTTTGCAAAATTAAGAAATGTTCCAAGGATTGTCCTTGTGCACTTTGTCAGGAAGAAGACCAGAGGTCAAGTTTTGCAGCAGCATTTTAATATTAGATTGATGATTGATAATACAGATGTAATTATACTTGGGGAAATTCCAATTAGAATACTACTTAAGAGAAAAGAGTATTTTTTTCTGACAAACTTAAACAGAAGAAAATTCAGTTTAGATGGGATATGATGGAAGGGGTTATTTTTACTTTTAAGCAGCAGTAAGCAAGAGATTTTTTGGAAAAATTTAAGCAAGAACTACAAATGGAAGTGACAACGACAGATGAGACCAAACAAATGCCACAGCAGATACAAAAAGATGTTGAAGAGGATTCCAAATCGGGCACTATAGAGATTGACGTTTCCAAAATCTTGGCCTAACTATGGATTATAAATGCTTAATGTAGAATATAAATGGAGCAAATTAAAACATGATGTGATTTGCTTACAAGAAACACATATTGGGAAAGATGATATAAAATATTTGAGTCACAAAAATTTGGGAGAAGAATTTATTTCAGCAGGACTGAAAAAAAATCTTAATTTTTGTAACTCAAATATTTTCTCTTTTCTTCTTTTCTTTTCTTTATATTAGTCTGTATTAGTTTTTATTTTCTCTTTTAAACGTTTTAGTAAATTGGCTTCCACTAAACAATAAACCAAAATGTTTGCATTATTAAAATTGAAAGCAACATTTTCTGTAAAAGTTATGAAAGAGAGGACTTACTTATAAGCCAGTGCTCCTGCAAAGTGCTTCTGAATATAAGTGTCCATTACAGGACGAAAATGAAAATATTTGCTATCACGCAGGAGATTTATGATGAACACCTGCAGGAGAAAAAAAAAAAAGAAACATGTTCCTGGGCACAGAGAGAACTGCTCCTGTCTGTGCTCCTGCTTGCTGAAGATGCCGGTCACAGATGCTGGCGAAACGTTAGGAAAGAAAACTTCCAGAACACAGCCACACAGCCCCGAAGACCCACACCAGCCAAACATGTTCATGTTCATATAGTAATATAATATTTTCTCTCTCTCTCCCCCCCTCCCCTTATTCATATGTGGCTAGATATTTAAAGATCTTCACTTGCAGAATTTGATTGTTGTTTGGAAAATTATGAGGGTAATTACAATGCCACTTGGTAAATACAGTCAACTTGGTTTTTGCATGGTTGACTTCCAACATTTTGGTCTGGCAGTATGATGTGTGGAGACTTTGCTGAAGCCCTCTTGAGATACAGGGAAGATAGCAGCATTAACACCATACAGTAGTATGGAGACTGGATTTTCAATTAACTACCTCCTGGAAATTCCATTATTCAAATCTTACACTGTGTGTACAAAAAACTTCTAATGCAATAGCTAGATACATAAACTATAAGAAAAATAACTATGTGCCTGTAGCAATCAAACTTTTCAAATCTAAAGTGTTTTGCTGCACAACACACAGTGTTGTATATATAATGGCACCCTACACTAGAAGCAGTCCAGTCCAAATTTCTAAGTTCTTTGCCCCCAGTTCCTTGCTCTGCTGCAAATGCAAATGCGCTTCTCTAGCTAGAGCTTGAATGTGTTTCTGCTGAGGCTCATCGGAGGTTCTGCTGATTAAAGTACTGGCTTAGATAAATTTATGAGGGGGATCTATACCTCAACTCTGTGTATTGATAGATCAACTCCCCATGAAAAAAGCAAATAATATCTGATTTGGTTTACTGTTGGCTCACCCCAGGCCCTATCAATGCTGGCCCAAGATAAAGCCTGGAATGAGGTTAAGGAAATAACTCTAGATCTTGATGTTTAAATGGACAAACTTAACATTTCACATCTCTCCTATAGTGAGCTCACCTATCTACCTCTCACTATTGCTAAGTATTTTTACCGCAAATTTGTGCCCTCACATAAGAGAACTTTCACTCTAGCACATTTGTATGCTCTTCCTTTAATGGAGTTTAAGGAGACAAGGAGATTTAATAATATTCCCTGCCAAGAACTTGTATGTTCAGATACTGAAACTGAGACAGTTACCCATGTACCTCAGAAATGCCCCATTTATCATCCCTGGAGGATGAAGTTAATCTCTCCTCTAATCACAGATTATCTGGACTGATCCCAACAGGAAACTCTGCATTTCCTATTAAACGATCAGGACCATGAAGCTTCAAGAAAGGTAGCCAATGTCAATAGCAATGAGAAACTATTCAATCTGAACATAAACTAGATATGCTTAGTTTCTGTTGTGAAGATGTCTTTATGATGGCTATTTTGCATTTTAATTTTTTGTCCACAATTGTATATTTTATAATAATAACTGTGGTATTGGCTAATTTTACTTATATATTATTTTTAACGAATTCTTTTAACATTTAATTTTAATCAAGCATATAAGGATAACATTGTTTATTTGTCTTTGGCTGTAAATAAATAAATAAACCCATATGTGCAATTCACAGAAATTACAAAGGAGTTGTTGACTTCTAAACTGGTTTCTCAAGTGGTTGTCTATGGAGAAACACAGCCCTCCCTCCTATGCCACTATTTATGATTTTATCTGAAGTTCCTTTTATTAGAACTTGCCACTGCGGAAGTCCTTCTAGTAATAACTTATTTCAGTCTTACTGCGTGATCCTGGGAAAAGATTCAGCTGTTTTGAAGAGCTAGTGACAGTTGCTTTGTGAATATGAGGAAAATATACCTTTGGGTGAAATAAGCAAGTTTTTAGAGGCTTCAGATGAATGGGATC